ACCCACAACGTTTTTTTTTTCGCTCATACATATACACTTGTAATAAAACTTTACGGTGGGGGTCAATGGGAGGCTTTGGAAAGTGATTGGGGGTTGTTGGTTAAAAACGTTTGGCGACCCCTGTTTTACAGTGAAAGCAGGGCAATGAAAAAGGAGGAATGAATTCTAATTTTGATAATGGGGACCCACAGTCAGTGTGAAGTTGCCAAAGAGTTTAAAAAGTTGCACTCAGTGAGATTGAGTGGTGTTAAGTCTTGAAGAAACTTCTTAAACTCTTCAGCAACTTTATGTTGACTGTGAATTGCCATCTTCAAAATAATTTGAATTTATTTCTCCTTATCCAGTTACATGCTTTTGCCTGTAAAAGAATAAACAAGGATCAATATAACACCTATGGTCCAGGACTTAAGGGTAATCCTGCATATATATGATTGTGGTTGATTTTCAAATGTAAAGAATATAAAAAAAAAATAGAAAAGGAATTAATTTAATCAAATTGATAAAAAGTATTCAGTATTTAGTCTGGAAATTTTAATTCATGCAACTGGTCTTATTCATTAATTCATGCCAACATTAACTAACTAATCAATTTCTTTCCATTTTCATCCCTGCTTTTCCAGATAATTTATCCCAAACAAGTGAAGCTTTGAAAAATTTTATTCAAATTATTTGACACAGTCAACCAAAGGTAATTGCTGTCAAATTATTTCTAAAGGCTTTACAAACATATTTATCTGACTTAGTTGCATAATTATTGATTAATTAGTGGTTTTTTTTGGTCAATAACTTTAATACCAATTAAATATTTCTGTAGAAAATTGTTATGATTTTTGCTTTATTAGTTTAATTTTTTTGGAACATTTTAAAAAAATATTAAATTAAATACAATTATTTTTTGCTTTTATAACAAAAATCAACAATTATCAGAACATTGCTAATTACACTTGAAGACTTAAATAAATTTAAGCACTTTCCCCTCTAATAGTTTTTGTTTATTAAAACTTTCTGTATAATTCATGCTTATTGGATATGGCTTAAATACTATTGTGGAAGTCGTTGACTTTTAGATATACGTAATAGTACTTTGATGTCTCTAAATCAATTTTAATATGCCAATGTGGACTTTGTACATTTTTAACTGACAAAAGTAATTTTTAAGATATTGTAATGTGCTTTTTGCTGATTTTGATAACAGGAAAATCAGTTGTGACAATTTTTATTGACTGTTTTCTATTTAATTTATAGTTTTAACATTTGAAATACTGTTTTAAGCATCATAACATATATCCTGTAAAGAAGTAAACTTTCCTATCTTAATAAGAGTTTTTCATAATTTTTTTTGCTCTGTGAACAGAACTATATTTAAAATACGCAACTTTACACATTTTTATAGATACATTATGTCTGAAAGTTGTGAACTGCTTGTATTGGAAAAAGATTTGGCAAGAAGCCTTTCTCTTTCCTCATTTAATTTTAACACATACATAAATCCTTGAGAGCTATATATTTGGTCTTACTGCTTATATGTTAATGTTTAGGAAATGCATATCATATGTATAACATTTAGAAATCTAATTTATCAAATAATCAACAAGATTATCAGCATAAATTTGGCCCATTTCATTTTCTGCAAGTTAATAATCCATTTCTTGGTGCATTAACCATTTCATTTTTCTTCAATAAAATCTATTAGAAAATTTGTAATTGATTTAGTTATTTAATGATAAATTTTATATTACTTATTATATATGATCAATTGAGTTGTGTTTATTCTTCTGTGTATAATATAGACGAAAGTTACTTCAATATTTAACAATATATAGCATTTAATTTTTCTGTGCTATTATATTTTACTTAATATTTTTTTATATAATAATTTCAGTTAACTTTCAATAACTTCAGGTGAAAGGGATAGAGAAGAATTTTTTAGTTACAAAATTACTGTAATTAAATTGTAAATATGATACAAATAATATAGTTAGACTTAAATAATTATATTTTTTTATTATTTTTAAGTTTGTACATATATAAAATAGCAAAATGTTTATAATATTAGTGGAAGTATTTTTAATAGAATATGATGAATAATTCATTGCTTTCTGGTGGATATTGTTCTAGATGTTTTTGATTGCCTTGAAAACATTGTTTCACATGTGATATAGCTTCTTGAAAGACCTTTAAAAAATTTAAAAATGTGAGAGTGCTATATATAAAATTTAATTGGCTAATATGCATTTAAGAATAAAATTTTACATGTAAATGCCTTTATACTTTTTGTATTTTTAACTTTTATATAACTTTTGTAAGGTTCACAAACACTATATAAAACATATGGTGAGCTTAATCGAGAGGAGACTGTTAGAGAGAGCCCTTTGAGCTTGAAATCCCGATTTTTATAGTTTTTCTCCCACTATTCGCATTTTGGATTGGTCCTTTGTCCCATTCTTTGTTCCCAATTGGCCTCTCTTTTGTTTCCAGGTGCAAGACGAAACCTCTTCGGGTTGCTCACTGTCAACCCGATTCAAGGTGTCCATTTGATACCTTTTCGTTGACTCTGCCTGGTGATTATTTATAAAACAATAACACCTGCACTCATAATTCAAGCGTTGTTTATACCCTGTTTTGACGTCTAAGAATTTTAATGATCATTTTCATCTATCAAAAATTTCCTTGTTCAAGGTTTATCTCAGCCAACATTTTATAGACTCGCGAGTCAATGATCTACCTGTTTATGAGCATTTGTGCTAGAGTTTGTCTTCTGCTAAGACCTTGACAGATAGTTTGACACATACTCAAACAGTTCCGAGTCTCGTTGTTTACATCTGGCATTGTGTGAGAATTTCGCAGTTTACTCCAGTTTGAACCTTGTCTGGGAACCCACACTTTGTATGTTTCTTCCAATGTATATACAGTAGAGCGTCGTTTATCCGAAGGTCGGTTATCCGAAACATCGGTTATCCGAAGGGATTTCAGTCGACAAATTTAAATTTTTGCCAGTGCTGTGGCGCTGTAATCTTTGGCCATGTCTTTGGCTACTCAAATATTTTACGTTTTTGATACTAAATTAACTTCTGAAGTATAATTTTTTATTATTTTTATATTTTTCAATATATATATTTTGTTTGTACAAAATAAAAAAATAATTTTTAACAATACAATANCTTTTTTTTATGATAAGTTATGTTTGAAAACCTTAGGAATGAAATATTTGATAAGTATGTTGGTCATAGTATAAATATTTAATTTTTAATATGTATTTATGAAATTAGATTGTTTAAAAGTTATTTAACTGTTAGAAACAAACATATTTCATAATCAGAATCATCTAACAATTAAGATATGACTTTCTAGAGTTGATAGAATAGGCAATATATTACAAATAAGCCAATTTGATGATTTTTTACAATGTTTTTTGAAAGTTCAGTATATACAAGTGTCAATTTTGATATGCATGAATATTTTTTCTGCCAAGATATAAGTATTTAATTACTCTGATTAAATATGCAAAAAGTACTGTATTTTCCTTGAAGCAGGAATTTTCTTCATTGGATCTGTCTAATGGAACATTAATAACATTTTGAGATCTCATAAAATATAAAAATGGTTGTGAATAGGATATTTGTGAGCCGCCGGGGAGGTAGGAAACCGTCGACTCTCCCTTTTCGGCAACAGGTCATTAAACCTACTCACTTGTCAAGATGGCTCAATTTCGAATGCGGTCCCGAAGGGTCGGGATTATTTTTGTTTGGTCGAGTGGAGGAGGTGAGAGGAATCGTTGACGAGGCGTAGGCGATATGCAAGTAAATGACACCATTTAACAATGGAAACAACGATTTATTAGATTAACGAAATAAAAAAAAATATAGGTTACAAAATCTAATATCGGGGGAAGTGAATTCAGTTCACTAGCTCCTAACTCGCGGAGAGAGAGTTTACAATTATTTGTTTCATACCTCTAGTTTACTTCCATGTAGGTGGGAAAAATTTAGTCCTTTTTGCCGGTGATCGATGCACACAGTTAAAATTTTCCGTGACTTAACCCTTTCCGACGACCGTAGATGTGAGACTTTCCCGAGGAGGGGGAAAGAAGTCGCTTTTATAGCTTTGGACTGGGAAAAATCAGTCATGTGATCACCTATTATGAGAGGTAGGGTTGGTCCTGCAGTTATGGAGGTTAAAGTTGTTACCGGGATCCAAAACAAAATGACGAATTCGGACTTTAACTATAAACTTTTTGTCTTGCAGCAGAGGAATGTCATTGTTTGAGGGTTGAATGTTTATATTAACGATGAAAGTTATAAGTTTTGATCGATATTTGATTCTTTTTTCTGACAATGTTATTTTAATGAGAAGGCGACAAATTTATTTTACATACGTCGAAAATTTAGGGGAAAATGAACAACTTTTGGGCTTATTCTGAGGTCGGATCTCACATATTGAATAGTGGATTTTGCTGTCTTGTAGTTAGAAAGCTTAATTTAGCTTTTATATGAGAATTTTTGTATTAAAAAGCAATTTTTAATATAAGATGTTGGCTGAAGGGACTTTTATGAGTATAATTAGGTGCAATCGAAGCACATCTGTTAGGAATTTTTAAAAAAGTTTGATCTTGGTTAAACTTCAATTGATGAATATGCTTATTAATTATTATTTTGAGATGTATTTAGTTTATCTGTTCTGATTAAATATTGTAATTAACTAAAATTTGTTTTTTGGATTGTTTGGTTTGAAACACAGTCACAGCATTTCATGTCTGTGACTCTTTGTGCTGCAATTGATATAATAATTCTTTGTATGTAATTAGTATTGTTTATATATTATATATTGATTAATTAACTGTAAATAATAACTGAAGAATTTAATAAAAAATAATGGTAAAGCAGAAAAAATGTTGTTTAAAATAATATCAACTGTAGTAATAAAAATGTATTTAGCTAGATTACATTTGTTTATTAATTTAATTAAATAACAACATAGTAAAATTAAGTTTTGTTTTGTAGATGCTAGGGATAACTGATTCTGTTGATGTGGACATTACAATGGATTCATTTGAAATTACTCAAAGTCAGTCGTGTGATTGTGAGCCTTCTCCTCCCATTCCACGTCATGGATCAAAAACAAATTTTTTTACTCCAGGAATGCAAGAGACTGCGCTCTCTAGTCCCGCACGGGCAAATCACGTTTTTCAGCAAGGTAAGCCGTGGTCTCCTTATGGTAGCGCTGGCCCTCCGACGCCGAGAGCTCCCCGTGCCATATTAAGTGTGGAGGATCGAGCGGTACAGTCGGCATTACCTAGGACTCCCGAAAATAGCCAGCCCATTTGGCCAAATATTAATAGTCCTCGTCTGCCTCGTACTCCTCCGAGAAGTTTGACCAGTCCAACTGTTAGCAGCAGTGCTATCATGGGTGTTTCTTATAATCAGTACTCGCCGGGAAGAAGATCGAGTCCGGGATCGCCAACGGCAGTTACTCCCGGGCAGTCTCCAGCGACAAGCAAACGCCACAATAATTCTGGTCTAGGAGGACTGTCGAGCATTGGAAGAACATATGGTGGTCCAATGCCATATTACACTCACATAGGAATGAGAGGTAGAACTAATTCTCGAAGCATGAGTCCTAATCGTAAGTTTGCTTCAGAAAGTGAACTTGTCAGAGCAGCTGCAGACAAAGCAAATGGGAATTATGATTCTAGAGTGATTGCAAATCAGACTGCAGATAATATTCAAGAATTAGCAAACCGGACCGGAATATCCTGTCATTGGGCAGATCATTCTTCTGGCAGTAGTCATCACAGGGTTCGTCGCAATTCACGTAGTGAACAGCACGGTTCTGGTTCTCACACGCCACCATCTCATTCTCTAGGATATCATGCCATCCACGGTCTGCCACCGGCAGGCATTCACGGAGGACCTTACGGCCGCCGTCACAGTGGCAGTGCCTCTCCACAGTCCAAACGTAACATGGTGGGACATGCGACTCCACCATTGGATATGTCACCCGCGGGTTCTCGTCCTCATGCAAAAAGGCCAATGTCTTTTGTAAAAGCCTTAGAAATGTCAGACTCTATGGAGAAGGCTGCGGCGGGAGCAGGAACTCCCAAAATCGAACATCGTCAGTCAAAATCATCAAACCCTCCTTCGTCAACCATACAAGAATTACAAGACGGCAATGCCGACAGAAGGAGTTTATACGAAATGAATTACGAAATCTCAGTTTAGTGAAATTTATTATAGTTCATTGGATCCACTAGATGAATTTTTACCTCAAGTGCCAGCAGTTTTATGAATAGAATTATTATATGAAAATATCTCCAGATGTTTTACTTGAGGAGAAACATTGCCACAGCAAGAAAAGAAAAAAATTATCACTCAACAGTAGGACTGGAGTGAAAAATAAATTACTAGGATTTTAAATGGAATTTACACTTAGCATTCAAAATCATAAAGAGACTAAAACTTTGTAACTTAAATCATAGATATGATTATCTTTGTTTGATTTTGCAAACAAGTATCATAATAAAACTCACCAAATATTTTGCAATATTTAACAAGTTAATTTATGATATCTAACTTCTTCCATTTTCTTACCTCAATTTTTTTATGCTAGTTTCACAAAGTTAATGTTTTCCATTGATTTTTTTTCCTCTACCAATACAAATGCAAAAATTTCTTACTTAAAATGCAGCATTGAGGTAAGTTTTTATATTATTTTATTTCCTAGTATTGAATGATTATATATAATGCTTTATTATCAGTTTTATAATTATGATTTTAACAATTAGGAGAGATGTTAAAAGAAATGTGTGTGTTTGTATACAGTCAACTTGACCATTCTCATCACTATAAATATGTTCTGTTTCAAATTTTTACCTTGTTAAAATTCTATTTATTAATTGTATTATCATCATTGTTGTTATTATTTTGATCCTGTGCTTAGTTGAATTAAGCCGAAAGTCATTAAATTGACGCAGTTACAAATTTCAGGTTATGTAAATATATTGAAACATTGTTGATCATCCGATCATAAATTTGTTACATGTAGTAGTTAAGTCTCAGCAGAGTATTTGATGGGATCATAATGATTTTGAATGTCTGATGTGTGTTACTGTAAAAGTGGCAAGAATAAACTAAATTTTCATAATTTTCATGAAAAGTTTTTTTATAGACATTACAAAATTTGTATATTCTGTATGCAATTATGACAGAATGTTGCACAACAGTATAATCCAAAGGTTTTTGCATAATTATTGACTTAAAACATTTGTTTCTATTCAGAGGCTAAATTTCATGAGAAATTTCATTTATCTGTTTGACAAAACATAAAAAATTGGGAAGTTATAAGGTAAATGTAGAATTAATACAACTTTTAATGGGAGTGTTAATAGTTATATTAAATCTATGATTACTATATTAAAAGTTTCTTGCCTTATTATTTAATTATGAGGAATTTTTTCCAACCTCCACTAACGCATGAAAAAAAAAAATTGGAAGTATGTGGGGCAGGGTCAGGGTGCACACCTAGTGAGTAGTATATTCCCACCACTTAGCATTGTGCCAAGCTATTTTAAACATTTGCTACCTGCAGTAAACAAGCAAACACGATGCCGCCAATCCAGTCTCCCGCTAACTGTGAAGTACAAGCAGTAATTTGATTTCTACAGTTTGAAGGGCCGAATGGAGGTGAAATTCATCAAAGCATGTGTAATGTGTATGGTGAGAACCATGAGCTACAGATGTATGCAGGAAATTCAAACAAGGACGTGACAACATTTACGACGAGGGTGGTCAAGGGAGGAAGTGTGTGATGACCAATAATTTGGTGGACAAAGTGGATCAGTTGGTGCGAGACAGGCATCATTTCACAATTTCTGAGCTCAGTGAGGAGTTTCCTCAAATTTCAACATCCACACTGTATATCGCTGACTGACAGTATTAAAAGTTAGCCGAATAGCTTGGTGGCAATGTTCTTCAACATGGGTATACAAAAGCTGGTGTCACGGTATGATGTCTGCCCGAATCGACAAGCCAATTATGTGGAAAATAGGTGACGACTGTAACTACCTTCTACAAATAAAGTGGTTTTGTTCTTCATTCGGGTTTTCTTATTCTGGGTCAGTGGAGGTTGAAAAAACCCTCGTACAAAAAGTACTTAGTTACTTAAGACTAATGAACAGGCTTAACTAAATTAGTTCAGTAAAAAAAACCTTATGAATAGACCTTGTGTCATAAGAATAGAAAATTACCACAGTATAAAGAAGACACAATGACTATTCACAAGGTTTTTACTGGACTTGTTTAGTATTCTTAGGTTACTGTCCTAGTGATAATTTAGAATTCCTATTAAGATGTGTGTAATAATTTGTAACAGTTGTACTTATATTGTATTGTTGGCAATTGTCACCATAGACTGTTTTTTGTATGTCATCTAATTGATAAGGGCCCGTAAGGCCAAAATGCATTTTGGATAAATTAATAAGTTGGCTGGGTGTGTAATAAGCTTGTTCATTAGTCATAAGTAACTAAGTAGTTAGTGTAACTATGATTAATACATTATACACACATACAGTAATAGTAGTGCATTTGAAAAAGTGAATTAATCAAAATCAACTTCAGAATACTAATTTCAGAAATTATGAAGTTTTTATGTAGTAACGATTGCCAGCAAAGTTTTGTATGCCTGCAAATGAGCTAGTGTTAATTTTATTTATTACAGTACAAATAAAAAAGCCCGATTCAAGGGCTTATAATGCATCAAATGCTTCTGTATGTACTGTACAGTACAAGTGAAACTTTTGATACATTAGAAACAGCATTGACATGGTTAGAAATGCAACCCAAAATAGATTTTTAAACTCATGATTTCAAATCAGGGATTGAACCAAATTAAAAGAAAAATACTGAAAAAGTAAAAGGAAAAAGAACTATAATAAATCTTTTTTGTGTGAGTACAGTAGAGCATCGATTATCCGACCCCCGATCAACTGTCACATTGGTTAACAGACCATTCTAGTCGGCAAATTTTAAATGTCCGCTAGTGATGTGGCGCTACAATATTTGGCTATGTCTTGGCTACTTTAATATTATTTTTGTTAAATTTTTGAGTGTTTTAGCTGGCAACATTGGCTCAACCATGAAAGGGAGTCCTTTCTTTTCTTTCTTTCTTTCTTACGTTATTAATATGGATAGACTAGCCTGTTGGCTTTTTCTCCGAATCACTCCACTTAGAAATTAGGTAAAGTGGTTGGTGCGGTGAACAAAACGCTCAAAGATTTTGACATGTTGGCGAAGAGGAAGGTCGGTATGAGGCCAATATATCGGAGTTAAGGTTCGGACGATCGTAAGGTCCAAGGTTAAGAGACGGCCTAGCTCTTGGAGGGCCAGTGTGTATTGTGGACAGACTAGCCAATAGTGGACCAGATTGCGCCTCACCAGATTGCGCCTCACCAGATTGCCCCCACTGTGGCTCGCCACAGTGGGGGCAATCTGGTGAGGCGCAATCTGGTCCACTATTGGCTAGTCTGTCCACAATACACACTGGCCCTCCAAGAGCTAGGCCGTCTCTTAACCTTGGACCTTACGATCGTCCGAACCTTAACTCCGATATATTGGCCTCATACCGACCTTCCTCTTCGCCAACATGTCAAAATCTTTGAGCGTTTTGTTCACCGCACCAACCACTTTACCTAATTTCTAAGTGGAGTGATTCGGAGAAAAAGCCAACAGGCTAGTCTATCCATATTAATAACGTAAGAAAGAAAGAAAGAAAAGAAAGGACTCCCTTTCATGGTTGAGCCAATGTTGCCAGCTAAAACACTCAAAAATTTAACAAAAATAATATTAAAGTAGCCAAGACATAGCCAAATATTGTAGCGCCACATCACTAGCGGACATTTAAAATTTGCCGACTAGAATGGTCTGTTAACCAATGTGACAGTTGATCGGGGGTCGGATAATCGATGCTCTACTGTACTCACACAAAAAAGATTTATTATAGTTCTTTTTCCTTTTACTTTTTCAGTATTTTTCTTTTAATTTGGTTCAATCCCTGATTTGAAATCATGAGTTTAAAAATCTATTTTGGGTTGCATTTCTAACCATGTCAATGCTGTTTCTAATGTATCAAAAGTTTCACTTGTACTGTACAGTACATACAGAAGCATTTGATGCATTATAAGCCCTTGAATCGGGCTTTTTTATTTGTACTGTAATAAATAAAATTAACACTAGCTCATTTGCAGGCATACAAAACTTTGCTGGCAATCGTTACTACATAAAAACTTCATAATTTCTGAAATTAGTATTCTGAAGTTGATTTTGATTAATTCACTTTTTCAAATGCACTACTATTACTGTATGTGTGTATAATGTATTAATCATAGTTACACTAACTACTTAGTTACTTATGACTAATGAACAAGCTTATTACACACCCAGCCAACTTATTAATTTATCCAAAATGCATTTTGGCCTTACGGGCCCTTATCAATTAGATGACATACAAAAAACAGTCTATGGTGACAATTGCCAACAATACAATATAAGTACAACTGTTACAAATTATTACACACATCTTAATAGGAATTCTAAATTATCACTAGGACAGTAACCTAAGAATACTAAACAAGTCCAGTAAAAACCTTGTGAATAGTCATTGTGTCTTCTTTATACTGTGGTAATTTTCTATTCTTATGACACAAGGTCTATTCATAAGGTTTTTTTTACTGAACTAATTTAGTTAAGCCTGTTCATTAGTCTTAAGTAACTAAGTACTTTTTGTACGAGGGTTTTTTCAACCTCCACTGACCCAGAATAAGAAAACCCGAATGAAGAACAAAACCACTTTATTTGTAGAAGGTAGTTACAGTCGTCACCTATTTTCCACATAATTGGCTTGTCGATTCGGGCAGACATCATACCGTGACACCAGCTTTTGTATACCCATGTTGAAGAACATTGCCACCAAGCTATTCGGCTAACTTTTAATACTGTCAGTCAGCGATATACAGTGTGGATGTTGAAATTTGAGGAAACTCCTCACTGAGCTCAGAAATTGTGAAATGATGCCTGTCTCGCACCAACTGATCCACTTTGTCCACCAAATTATTGGTCATCACACACTTCCTCCCTTGACCACCCTCGTCGTAAATGTTGTCACGTCCTTGTTTGAATTTCCTGCATACATCTGTAGCTCATGGTTCTCACCATACACATTACACATGCTTTGATGAATTTCACCTCCATTCGGCCCTTCAAACTGTAGAAATCAAATTACTGCTTGTACTTCACAGTTAGCGGGAGACTGGATTGGCGGCATCGTGTTTGCTTGTTTACTGCAGGTAGCAAATGTTTAAAATAGCTTGGCACAATGCTAAGTGGTGGGAATATACTACTCACTAGGTGTGCACCCTGACCCTGCCCCACATACTTCCAATTTTTTTTTTTCATGCGTTAGTGGAGGTTGGAAAAAATTCCTCATAATTAAATAATAAGGCAAGAAACTTTTAATATAGTAATCATAGATTTAATATAACTATTAACACTCCCATTAAAAGTTGTATTAATTCTACATTTACCTTATAACTTCCCAATTTTTTATGTTTTGTCAAACAGATAAATGAAATTTCTCATGAAATTTAGCCTCTGAATAGAAACAAATGTTTTAAGTCAATAATTATGCAAAAACCTTTGGATTATACTGTTGTGCAACATTCTGTCATAATTGCATACAGAATATACAAATTTTGTAATGTCTATAAAAAAACTTTTCATGAAAATTATGAAAATTTAGTTTATTCTTGCCACTTTTACAGTAACACACATCAGACATTCAAAATCATTATGATCCCATCAAATACTCTGCTGAGACTTAACTACTACATGTAACAAATTTATGATCGGATGATCAACAATGTTTCAATATATTTACATAACCTGAAATTTGTAACTGCGTCAATTTAATGACTTTCGGCTTAATTCAACTAAGCACAGGATCAAAATAATAACAACAATGATGATAATACAATTAATAAATAGAATTTTAACAAGGTAAAAATTTGAAACAGAACATATTTATAGTGATGAGAATGGTCAAGTTGACTGTATACAAACACACACATTTCTTTTAACATCTCTCCTAATTGTTAAAATCATAATTATAAAACTGATAATAAAGCATTATATATAATCATTCAATACTAGGAAATAAAATAATATAAAAACTTACCTCAATGCTGCATTTTAAGTAAGAAATTTTTGCATTTGTATTGGTAGAGGAAAAAAAATCAATGGAAAACATTAACTTTGTGAAACTAGCATAAAAAAATTGAGGTAAGAAAATGGAAGAAGTTAGATATCATAAATTAACTTGTTAAATATTGCAAAATATTTGGTGAGTTTTATTATGATACTTGTTTGCAAAATCAAACAAAGATAATCATATCTATGATTTAAGTTACAAAGTTTTAGTCTCTTTATGATTTTGAATGCTAAGTGTAAATTCCATTTAAAATCCTAGTAATTTATTTTTCACTCCAGTCCTACTGTTGAGTGATAATTTTTTTCTTTTCTTGCTGTGGCAATGTTTCTCCTCAAGTAAAACATCTGGAGATATTTTCATATAATAATTCTATTCATAAAACTGCTGGCACTTGAGGTAAAAATTCATCTAGTGGATCCAATGAACTATAATAAATTTCACTAAACTGAGATTTCGTAATTCATTTCGTATAAACTCCTTCTGTCGGCATTGCCGTCTTGTAATTCTTGTATGGTTGACGAAGGAGGGTTTGATGATTTTGACTGACGATGTTCGATTTTGGGAGTTCCTGCTCCCGCCGCAGCCTTCTCCATAGAGTCTGACATTTCTAAGGCTTTTACAAAAGACATTGGCCTTTTTGCATGAGGACGAGAACCCGCGGGTGACATATCCAATGGTGGAGTCGCATGTCCCACCATGTTACGTTTGGACTGTGGAGAGGCACTGCCACTGTGACGGCGGCCGTAAGGTCCTCCGTGAATGCCTGCCGGTGGCAGACCGTGGATGGCATGATATCCTAGAGAATGAGATGGTGGCGTGTGAGAACCAGAACCGTGCTGTTCACTACGTGAATTGCGACGAACCCTGTGATGACTACTGCCAGAAGAATGATCTGCCCAATGACAGGATATTCCGGTCCGGTTTGCTAATTCTTGAATATTATCTGCAGTCTGATTTGCAATCACTCTAGAATCATAATTCCCATTTGCTTTGTCTGCAGCTGCTCTGACAAGTTCACTTTCTGAAGCAAACTTACGATTAGGACTCATGCTTCGAGAATTAGTTCTACCTCTCATTCCTATGTGAGTGTAATATGGCATTGGACCACCATATGTTCTTCCAATGCTCGACAGTCCTCCTAGACCAGAATTATTGTGGCGTTTGCTTGTCGCTGGAGACTGCCCGGGAGTAACTGCCGTTGGCGATCCCGGACTCGATCTTCTTCCCGGCGAGTACTGATTATAAGAAACACCCATGATAGCACTGCTGCTAACAGTTGGACTGGTCAAACTTCTCGGAGGAGTACGAGGCAGACGAGGACTATTAATATTTGGCCAAATGGGCTGGCTATTTTCGGGAGTCCTAGGTAATGCCGACTGTACCGCTCGATCCTCCACACTTAATATGGCACGGGGAGCTCTCGGCGTCGGAGGGCCAGCGCTACCATAAGGAGACCACGGCTTACCTTGCTGAAAAACGTGATTTGCCCGTGCGGGACTAGAGAGCGCAGTCTCTTGCATTCCTGGAGTAAAAAAATTTGTTTTTGATCCATGACGTGGAATGGGAGGAGAAGGCTCACAATCACACGACTGACTTTGAGTAATTTCAAATGAATCCATTGTAATGTCCACATCAACAGAATCAGTTATCCCTAGCATCTACAAAACAAAACTTAATTTTACTATGTTGTTATTTAATTAAATTAATAAACAAATGTAATCTAGCTAAATACATTTTTATTACTAAACTAATACTGAAATAAATATTAAAAATAATAATTCACTTATTACTACTGAAAACAAACTTTACAACAATAAGTAATCTTAAAATGCAGTTTGTTGATGTCAACAGAATGCATTTAAATAAATGAAATAATCCTACATGAATCAAATAAAACAAATTTTTAATTTTTTAGTAAAAACTCTTTTAATAGCATGCAAAACACTCAAAAATATTACTGGAAAACAATTCCATCTTATTTAAATGCTTACATTCATATTAGACTATTTCATTTAATTAAATTATTGTTTTGTTAATAAATATAAAAATTTGTTATGTATTAAAAATAAGTAAAATGTAACTAAATATTCAATAAATTTAAATTTATATAATATTCATAATATTTAATTCTATTAGTTAAATTGATTATAAGAAACTGCTTGACATTTTATATTAAAAAATATACTTAAAGTGCCTGATCCAATAGCTAAATCCAGTATAATGACAGAATGACTTTCCAATATTTTACATTAATTTTAAAAATATTTTTCAGTTGCATGTATCATTACATGACTCAGAATAAAAGCTATTAATTCTTTTAGTTAAGATATGTAATAATTTTTAAAAAATTATTTTAATTTTCTGAATATACTATAAAGAGAAAAGGCTTGAAAGTGGATAGGAAAATCTAATTATACAGTTGAACTTCGTTAACTCAAATCTCTCCCTAAAGCTCCTTTATGATTTCCGTGTAATTTTTGTCATTTGACTCAATATGACACAAAAAGAACACAACAAACAACAAATTCAAATCAGTTTAAACATGAAGCTTGAAAATTGATCCAATGAATGTTAAGATCATAGACCAGCGGTCGGCAACCCAAATGCATTGGTATGCCACAAAACATGTAATTGAATATACTGGACACTACGCGTGCCACCAAAATAAAATTATAAAATTTATTGCACATTAATACATTTTTATTTAACTATAAAATGCACACTATATAAAAATATTATAAAAAAATTACAATATTTAAACATTAGTGACTGTCTTGAAGTTCAATTTTAGAAGCTAACGCATCAATATTTGGTTCATAGTTTGAAGTTTTTAATTTTATGCACAACTGGCATGCCACTCAAAACTCTTTTGCATGTCGGCCACGCATGCGTGGCATAGGTTGCCGACCACTGTCATAGACCACCACACATTTATTTCTGTTCATTTAGTACCATTTGCCATTCTTATGTTTGTTAATTATCTTTTCAGCATATGAACAATTAATTAATTCAGTTTTCTATAAAGGAATATAAATTATATTTATAGTCCTTTAAAAGAATAAATACCTTGTCAATGGTACGACATCAGACGTAATTATCAAAGCAACTTTTGTCACAGAATGAAACAGGATTAAATCAAATTTTACTTTTGCCCTTATTTAACTCCCATAAACTCAATGTATTTTGTATCTCTAAATTTAAATAGTTTTAAGAATATTTAGATAAATTAATTAGAATCCCAGATGTCAAGTTATCTTGTTTAATAGCATGCATTTTCTGTCACAATTTCAAGAGGCCACTTTAAAATGGTTTAAATAGAATCAAACATAATTACAGTAGAGCGTCGTTTATCCAAATCAATTGGGGACTGCGGTTGTTCAGATAACTTATTTTTCAGATAACCAATTATGTATGAAAAAATATATTAATTTATCCCGTGTTGAAATTTTTCTCCGTTGCGTGTCGCTTCGCATAGAATTTTCGTCAATGTTAAGCCTAACAAAGACTATTGTATCGTTAAAAATTATTTTTTTATTTTGTACAAACAAAATATATATATTGAAAAATATAAAAACAAAAAAAATTATACTTTAGAAGTTAATCTAGTATCAAAAACATTTGATTTGGCATGACACAGTCTGACTGGAATGCTTTCGGTTAACCGACATTTCAGTTGATTGGCTTTTGGATAAACAACGCTTTACTGTACAACTAACCACATCAAAGTAAAAGGGTTAAACTTCAGTGTGTAACTCTCACTTGACCCATGTTTAACATGCGCTGAGCAAGCACTCAACTGTAAGCATTAACAATCACTTCATTCCCATTTGAAATTTGCAGTGTTGCCAGAATTCTTTATACCCACAGGTCTACTCTTGTCCCTTGGTGTAATTCTAAGATTTTTATTTTTTTCCCAAATGTATCATTTCATAAATGGGGTGTGGCCTATACATGCATGAATACAGTATTCGATAGCAATGATATGCTGATTTGAACTGACTTGATATTGAAAGATGCATGCCATTCCATATGTTTGCAAAAGCCATTTTGATATAATATCTCAAAATTCATATATGTATATCCTCCTACGTAAGGTTTTTTCAGTTACTGTTGGGTCCCAGTCGTTTTATGAATGGTAATGGTTATTGACAAAGAGTGCTAATTACAGATTTGTTTCAAGAGCTAGAATATATATATATATAAATATATTCAAACAAGTTGAATAATCTAATAATTGCAGGTGTTTGCTGTATTATTTTCACTTCTTCCAGTTATAGGTTTTTTTATATCCAATAACTGCCTATCATTCAGTCATGTTACATTGTTTAATCAGTAAGGAATTAGAATATTAGAGAGTTTGTCCATCCAAATTCCTGACTTGAAACTAATATACCTTATCTGAAGTATTTTAGGGAGATGTATTGATGTTTAGTTTCTCAGAACCTTTAGAAGGTTCTGAGAAACTAAACATCAATACATCAAAGTTCTATTGTGGGCTTGCTAAACTTGTTATGAATAGTAAATTAAAGTATTCTTAATTCCATCTAAGTGAAAGGAGTACAAAAAAGGTTCTCTCATTGAGAATGCCATTAAACTTTCTTTATTTCTCTAAAGTAAGAAGTCAAAATTTTAAATATTTATGCAGGTGGTGTAAGATGTCAGTTTTAGAAATTTAATGTTAAATTTTTTGATGTATTTTGCTCTAAGAAAGAATTGTTGAAATGATAACATTTTCAATAACTATTGAGAATAGAATTTCTTGCATATGTGTGTGATATCTTGTAATTATTAATATCATTTCACATTACTGTGAGAAGTAATCATATATAAACAACTGGGGTGAAAACTTAAGTCGTCTTAAGTCATTGCAGGAAGTGACTTGTATGGTTGTAGCTCTTAAATTAATTGGTCTGAAAGTGAAGATTGGATGAAGATTTGGTGTTATTCAGAATATTCTACCTTCATTTCTGATAATGCATCTTTACATCTAGAAATGTAACTGGTAATCTAACTGAATGGTAAGCAGTTCGAATATCACCACTGCAAATAAGGTGTTAGTGAATTTGCTATTTTTGTTTATTAAAATAAAAATATCTGTTGAGTAGAGAATCACACCTAAATACAAAATTTCCAGCAAAGAAATGCTTAACTTCAATGTTTGAATGTTTTCAGCCACTATTTTATCAGCCCTCTTCAGTTACAAATTCATCAATCATATTCCTTACTAAACTTACTAAGTTGGAAGGCCAAAAAATTGAGAAAGTAAAAGTTAGTTTGCTCTGAAGAATCTGGGATAAAATCTGAATCTATATTTCAGAAATTTTATGACTAGTTTTTCTTGTATATATTTGGACCTGTCCTTCACCATTCAGTAACCTCTATTGTGTACTTGGCTCTCCATACTCACAGGATGGAAGTGTTCAAAAGAATCTCTATATCAATGACATTAATCACAATTTAGAATTCATGCTGTTGTAATCATGATTGATTAAATTAAGGACTTATTAATAATGTTATGTTTAAATATCTTTAAATAAAAAGTATTTTATACTTTGAATTTTCCTATTTACATATTTTGACTTTCTATCTTACACTAAAATACATTAAAATAATGTTTCCTTAATTTTTTTAGGCAAGAAGAGCAGAAAAGAAATGTAATAAGTTGGCTTTTAAAGAAGAAAAGAAGAGACAAGAAAAAATTGCTCAGAACATTTTACATAATTTACAATCAGTAAAACTTGTATAAAAGAAATAAAATCTGTAAGTAATGCATAGATTTAATGTGACAACTTATCCTTTTTAAAACTGTGAAAAATTTAAATAGAAAGTAAAAAAAAAAAAATCAGTGTTTTCATCATTTAACTGACTAATGTGTTTTCTTGTAAGTATACTTTTGATTTTACCACATTTTACCAAAAATGCAGAAAAAAATTCACTTAAATTATCATTTTTTGTTTCTTCTGTATGAATGTAACAAATAAGCTA